AACTCTTGGGCTACTCTTTTTACCAACGAATAGTGGGATTGACCGTCACATTATAACGCCCCCACCGACTGAAAGGGCGAGCATGTTTGGTGGGACGGTGATTCGAACCCGCAGATTACGAATCGAGTGCCCTAACCACCTGGCCATGTTGTAAATTTTAACACTTGCCATCTTTTGCACTCTGTATGTCTATTAGATTGGAACTATTTTTCAATGAGGACCAACAGATTAAGCGATTTGCATTGTCTCATTATGGCGTCATAGTTCGAAACACATACGTTAATCAACAGAAGATTATCGATTATAAAATAATTATATATATATATATATAATTGAGAAATTATGTGGTTACTGATTAGCTGAACGAGTTAGATGTCGCTGTGGTTCATTAATAGTAAGCCATACTGTTAATAGATTAAACTTGATGATATTGCAAGTAACAATGACGGATTAATTAGAATTAAAAACTCCAAAAGTTTAGCTAAGTTTCCAAAGGTTTGTTGGTAACGATTTTTAAGTTAACCTGTTGCTCTCATGTATAGGGGAGAACATGTTCGGTATCTTTTAAGTCGGTGATTTCTTTTGGTTCTTGAAGTCGAGCCCCCCCAGTAGCACAGCGGTATGTCTGCGGGCTTACAACGCTAGAATCCGGGTTTCGATACCCGTGGTGGGCAAAGCACAGATAGCCCATTGTGTAGCTTTGTGCATATTTACAGAATAAAAGAAACTTGAAGTCGCATATTTAAAATAACCTGAAAAGGGCAACTGACCATGTTAAATAAATGTTCAGGATATAAACTTTAGGCTGAATAATTGACAAGAATAGATAGCATTAATGCTACATATTCATGAAATCATTTATAAATATTAGATCACTGTGGTGAATAAAAGACATTTCAAAACATCATACAAATAAGACAAAATGTTTCCAAACCGATTTTACGTGCCGTTAAAAATCAGGAATTAGTCACTTACTGATTAAATAATCATAACTTACGAAATCCAGCATACGGTGTTCTCTATCTAAAGACAGATCATAAATTATCTTTTTCTGAACAATCATGGTTAATACGTGATCCTGCTTCTCATGAGTATGACAAAATACATACGTATTCATGTTTTGGTGTATGTTCTTTCATACCTTAATATATATGATACTAATAAACATAGAATATATATATGACAATCTTTGATAAACGCACAATTTCACCGTTGGTAGTTATGATGCTCAACTAGCAAACTGCGGGTTTGCGGGATTGAAACCTGTCACCGAACATGCTTTGCCTTTCAGCTGTTGAAGCGTTATAATATTATGATCAATCGCGCTATTCATTGGTAATGAATATCCCAAATGTTGGCGGTGGGTTGACTAGCTCCCTTTTCTCTAGTCTACCACTTCGAAATTAGGGACGGCTAGCATAGATAGCCCTCGAACATTTGCGGGGCCCGGCATGGCCAGGTGGTTAGGGCACTCGACTCGCAATCTGATGGTCGCGGGTTCGAATCCTCGTCCCACCAAACATGCCCGCCCTTTCAGCCGTGAGGGCGTTATAATGTGACGGTCAATCCCACTATTCGTTGGTAAAAGAGTAGCCCAAGAGTTGGCGGTGGGTGGTGATGACTAGCTGCCTTCTCTCTAGTCTTACATTGCTAAATTAGGGACGGCTAGCACAGATAGCCCTCGAACATTTGCGGAAAAGTCAACAAATATCGCCCCTTTTGCCTCTGAAAAAAAAAAAAGATTTATTTTTATTTTTCAAAGATCTACTTATATGGAGTTTTACGAAGTGGCTATTATAATTCTCCTGCAAAACTGCATGATAAAAATTAGTTATCTTAGTGAACTTTGGGGGATTTTCAAATTTGTTGTGATTAAGAAAAAAGTTTCAAGCAAATAAATTTTATCTTTTGCTTCTCTCGTAAAGTTGAAGAAAATGTATATCACCCTTTTCAATGTAAATATTTTGATTTTTAATTTTTAATCGGGTTTCGATACTCGTGATAGGCGTAACACAAATAGCTCATTGAATAGCTTTGCGCTTAACAGAAAAACCCATTGTTGGTGAATACATGAGGCTCTCGAAAGTAAATGATTCGATACACAGTAATTGATTAGTAAAGAACAAGATTTAGGTATCCATTAAAAATACACATCTCAAAGTTAATTGAAAGTTTCAAGTCTACTTTAATGACTGTCATTTCTTGCTCAATAATATTGTAAAGAACATAGAAACATCTTGTTTTGAACTTATGTCTGCCTACAGTTTGTTGGCGAGTTTTAGCAATTCTACATCTACAAGCTAACATTTGGTTTGCAAATCGATATAACGATTTGATGTTCTTTTCAAGATTATTGATTTATTTTTGTACTTTGATTTTGTCATCACAACCTTTCTGCACAGTATAATGTCCTTTTGTACTTCTTCGGTGTTGTTACTATAATATCCATGTACATTTTTAATAACTTGGTTGAGTCTGTCTTCATCATATTTATTTTTGTTCTTAATTCTTTTTTGATTGTTATGTCTCTTTTTTTTCTATGTTTTTCTATCATTATTTTCTTTCATCAAAGCACTTTTTTTTTCTGTCAAACGTCTAATACTAACCAATTCTTTTCTGTCTTTATCTTCGTTTGACAAATTGACTTACCTTCTTTAACTTGAAGACACTAAACTTAACTTATGGTTTCGTCATCATAACATAACACAATGTTTAGGGAAAATAAAGAACCTATTGGTCCATCTAGGCTGTCCCATCCTCTAAACTAAACTAAAACTATAAAAACCCTCAAA